GGGGAGAGAAGAAATGGGGAGGGGGCGAGAAAATAAGTGAAGTGGGAGGAGCCCGACGACAAACCGCGTTAATCACCGCAGAGTCTGACTCACGTGGCTGCCTGCACGGAAAGAAAATAAAGGCGGCGTGGGGAAGTTCCCCGCGGGACTTGGTCCTGGAAGGGATGTTGGCGAAAGGATGGACGGACGGGTCGGGTTTCGGCTTTTTCGCTGCCCAGTGGAAGATGGCTCTTAGGCCAGGCGAGAGGACTGCCAGGCGCCGCGGGAGGGGAGGGAAAGTTTCGGCGGTGGCGGCGACGCCTGCTCTGCCCTCTTCGCTGCTCACCTTGAGACCTGCTCCCTGGGGGATTCTCTCCGCCCCTGCCTGTTCCGGCTGTCGCTCTGCGCGGGGTCGTACCAAGGGGACAGCCGCTTCAGGGCAGCCCAAGGGCTGTTTTTGTGCACCGTCTGTAGCCGAATGTGGCGGTGTGTTGTGGAACCGCATCATAACATTGTGAGTCATCCATCCATCCCTCCTCCTCCTCCTCTTCCCCCCCCTTCAACCTCCCGCTACGTCAGAGCGGGGTCGGAGACACGGATCACGGAGGGAGGGGACAAGCTGGAGTCACCCCGACAGGGACGCTGGGTGTAGGGGGCGCCCCGGCAGGGCACGCGGCACTCTGGGGCAGAAAGGCAGTGGGGGAAGGGGCAGCTGAGAGAGGGCGGGGGGGGGGAGCCCTGGGAGGGAGAGTGGCGCGCAGGGATCACTCTCCCCTCCATTGCTGCCTGGGGCAAACTCTGACGCAGGGAGAGAGACGCAGCGTAAGGGTCACCGCCGGCTGGAAATCTGCAATCTCGCTTTTCGAGGCGCTTCATCCAGATCAACCCCCGACCCCAACATGTCCCGTCCTTCAGGAAATGCTTCCAGGACCCCCATTGCCTCCTTCTCTGGCACATATGATACTTCAGCATATGGAAGCCCGAAGCCCCAGAATTTGGCACTCCTCGGCTTCGAATTCCTACTAGCCTCGCCATTGCTCAACCCTCCTCTCTTGTCCTCCAAACTGACATCCCATAATGGCTAGCTTCGCAGCTTTATGATATCCCAAAGGAAAACATATTTTCCAAACCAATATGGACTTGGAGTTCAAAAATAAATAATTGCTTGGGTATATGATTTTGGCCCCATAAAACCACACAGGAGTTTAGATGTTGATATCTATAGGGACTGAATTGCAATCCTTTAGTATGCAACTAAGCAGCAGAAAGAAACATCTAATCCCTTTACAGAGATTAACAAGCCTTCCTAAACTTATCAATAAAACTGTATATACAAAAAAAAAACCACTGAAGCCTGCTTTCATGCAAGCTTGAACTACATTACTGAGACACAAAATAATAAACAGAGTCATACTTTCCCCAGGAAATGATATAACTGTGGAGAGCCAGTTTGATCTAGTGGTTAAGGCACCAGGCTAGAAAGCGGGAGTCTGGGTTCCAGTCCCACCTTAGGCATGAAAGCCGGCTGGGTGACTTTGGGCCAGTCCCTCTGTCTCAGCCCAACTCACCTCAGGGGGTTGGGGAAAATAGGAGGAGGAAGGAGTGTTAGGTATGTTCTCTGCCTTGAGTTATGTATAAAAAATAACACAGGCAGGATAAAAAAAAATCTTAAAACAACCAACCAACTCATGTTGGCTTACATTTATGCAGGTTCTAGAATAGTACAGAATTCATTATATGGGTCTTCACCACAGGCTTTGCATTCATGATTGCTGTAAGGGCTTCTACAATCAGTAAGTCCATCCCCCATATGCATTGCTCATTAGTTCTGACCAGTTGCTTGCATATCCTTGTCTTGAGAGGCTACCATTATGTCTGGCATTAAAAATCATGACAGCCCATCTTGGAACCAATAAGAGTTTATTAGAAACCTTGATGGCCACAGGCGGAAACTCATGTAAGTAGGCCTAATCCTAAATTGCTATGCTAGATGATAATATTCTAGGATTACCCTGTTATTCACTAAATTGCAGACAGCTCAGTCTTTCCTTCTGATTTTGAGACTGAAAGGAAATGTGCACATTCTGAACCTTTGCCATACTGCTATTGAACTGTTATTACATTTATAACTTGACTAGCATACACCATGCTATTTTCATTAGTATTAACTTCTACTTAGTAGAAGACAATGGATTAGAAGAAAACATTCCTTTGGGAATAGATTGATATTACAGTTAAATCACTAGCCCAATATTTAGACTGCCATTCCAAGTTGTTTTGGTTTTTTTCTTTCTTTCAATGGCCTTCATCAATCATGCTGGACATAGAAACAACTGGAAGCTGTTTATCATTCCATCCACCCTTCATGTCAACAGGAACAACTATCTCTGACATTGGCAAGTGTTTCAAAGATGACTTCATTTTTGCTGGATATAATGGGGTTGTAACAGAGGAATCTCTTGTATTGTCTTATACTTTGTTTCTCTGCTTCCCTCCTAAACATTTGCTTTTTTAACTCCAGCAACCTCTCTGGTCTATTTCAACTTAGCTGACAGTCAAAGCAGCCTCTCCCATGCTTGTCACAAGGGCTTTTTTACCCTGTTGTCTGAGTGGAACATGTTCCCCTACTACAATCATGTCAGGGATCATTAAGAAAAGAACTAAAATGATAATAGAAATGTCTTTACACATATGAGTGACTGCAATCACTCACTGACTATAGTTTACATTTCTGGTCACCACACTTTAAAAGAGTAATGCAGAATTGGAAAAGGTGCAGAATAAGACAGCTAAATGATCTAAGAACAGTTTTCCTGAGGGAAGAAATAACATTCGGGGTTTTCAATCTAAAAGAAAGATGAATAAGGGAAAATATAAGACATTATTTTATATAGTTTTTAGATAGATAGATAGATAGATAGACAGACAGACAGACAGACAGACAGACAGACAGACAGACAGATAGATAGATAGATAGATAGATAGTTTATACACAGAAAGCCAAACATCAAAAGGAGTCTAATAGATTAACAGGTTTTATTAAAAAGGATAAGCTTTGGTGAGCTGCTGTTTACTTCATCAGAATGGATACATAGAATGGAGAAGATGGATAAGGAGGAGGACTAAATTGGTGACTAAAGCTGAATGATGGAAGATGGGAATTAGTTAAAAAGAAGATTTTGAGCAAGATGAAAACTGCAACTTAAAGAGGTAATGATGCTAAATTTCATGGCATTAAAATGTAACTAGACAGATTCATGAAGGATAAGACTATGAGTGGCTACCAATCATGACTAGTACTACAGAAATACTGAATGCTGATCGCTAGCCAACATGAATCAAAGGGCACTACTATGCAGATGTCAAGTGTGGGCTTCCCAGAAACATTTGGGTGGCTACTGGAGGGAGAGAATGAACAAAATAGAGAGGTTTTCGTTTAATCCAACAGGGCAGTTGCAGCTAAATCTGGAAATGAAGCAAAATAACCTTCAAAAGTGATATTGGTCAATTTTGAAAAAAAATATTCTATAATCATATTCCCATTTCCACACTAACAGCCTCCCCTTACCCTCACTCAACAGGAACCTTGCTGTCCCTATTGCCAATTTCCATTCTGTTTGTATTACAGGTAGTCCTCATTTAGCGACTGCCTCATGCAGCAACCATTCACAGTTACGATGGTGATAAAAAAGTAACTTTGTGACCAGTCCTTGCATTTATGATGTTCACAGCACACCTATAACAATGCAGGTAAAGACATTATCTCATTCATGCGTTGGGCCAAGATGAAAGTAACAGCCAAGCTATATATCACCAGCATGTTGATGTCATGGTTAGATGAAAATGAGGACATGGCATAAGACTGCAATCTTATGCTCACTAACTTGTAATCCCCATTACATTCAATATAGCTCACTTATGAGTGAACATCAGATTCTGCTTTAAGTGGTATCCTTGTGGCATCTTATGGCCTCTGTTCTACTATTGATGCCAAACACAACTCTAAAAGGTTCTGCTGTGGAGTACAACTGCAACAGAATAAAAATTTGGAAACTCCTTACTGGACAGTTACTTGCGTTTTGCACATTTTTTCTACTGATTCACTGTAGAATAGAAAGCAGCAGGTAGAGTCTCTTTTAGTACTGAGAACTTGAAAGTTCAGCAGCTCTTCCCTTCAGATACACAGCTAGTCATAATGTAGCAATACAGAGAAATAAGTATGCTTTTTGCAAGGGTCAAACCACCAAGTAATATTAAGCAGAGGAGACTACTGTCTATAGAAGCATGGAGTTAGAAACATCTCTTTTGAAGAAATATCACATTAAAATGCCCCACATATAAAGGAGTCAATAATGCATTTATTTATGGGTAATAATATGAAAATAGTGGTCGGTGGCACATTTAAATTCAGAAAGCCTTTTGCATAGTATTAACATTTTGCAGTTCATGAAATCTTATGCCACAATAAATCTATGACATTTCAGAAGACTCTGCATTTTCTGTTTGTTGTAATAACTTAATTTCATCACTGGATAATCAAAGAACATATTATTTGCTATCAAAAGTAACATCAATTTTTCACGCTCTGAAGGATTTAAATGCTTAGAATTAGCGTTGTTATACAATGAGGCCATGAGATCTGAACCCTGAGTGGCAGTGATTAAAGCAGAGGTACCCCAGTTTGGCTCTGGAGATAAATACTAATACGAGCTTCTGATATGGCGAAAAAAGCATATCTTAGTTCATCAGTGTATTAAAATATCTAAGCAAGTGATATCCTGAAGTGTTCTTTGTGGCGTTGACAAAAGAGAGAGAGAGAAATAGGCTGGCTGTCTCTGTTATCCTAATCGTTTGGCGTCAAGAAACTACATTTCCCAGGAGAAGGCGAACAGGATTTCCTCACTCGCCTTTTCATTCGTATGCACGGATAAACTACATTTCCCTTGTGCCACTGGGCGAGGAGACGGTCTTGAAACAAGAGGATGCACGTGACTGCCTAATTGCCATGCTTCCATCACTTCCGGAGCAACAGACATTTCCGTTGCCTAGTCCGATTCAGGACTAGCGCGGTTGGATCCCTGTGGATTTAATAGGTGGGTGGCTTTTTACCCGGCTTCTTCATGACTCTGACTCCGTTGCTATGGGGTGCTCAGCATTTAAGCCGTGTCGTCTACCGGGTGGCTTCTTTCTTTCTGGGGAACGTTTCATTCTTGGTCCTGCCTTAGTCTCGCTTTTTCTCGTATGTTGTTTTGGTCGTCGCCGAAATGATGGGATGGAGATCGGCATCCTTTTGGGAGAGGCGTCTCTTAGCTTTTGTCAGCTCACACTATAAATCCTTAACTTGTTTCAGTGATTGTTTTTATGATTGATTGACTGATTACGTGCCATCAAGTCGTTGTCGACTCGTAGCGACTACATAGATAGATTTTCTCCGTGAGTTTTTATGATGCTGAGGCAATAATCATGTGACTGACTAGAACTAACGTACGGCTCAACAGTGTTCATCCCCTGGACCAAATCTGACCTTTAGCTGCGTGGCAAACCCCTAACCAATGTCGAAAAGCTAAGCATGATTGCTCTTGATGAGGACTTGGATGGGAGACCACTACAAAATCCCAGTGTTGTAATAGAGACTGCATCCTGGAAGACTGCAGTAGGAAACTATTTCTGAATTTTTGTCAGCAAGAGACTTTAACTGCAGCCTCAGAAACTAGAGCTGTACTTTGAAAAGAGCAGCTGTCCGATTGTAACATACACCCACAGTGTCTTTAGAGAGTTTCTTTTAATAAAAATAGTAATAATAATATATTAAACTTGTATGCAAGTTTTCAATACACAGTCTCCCTTTTACCATGTGCTACAGAAAGAAAGAGGAATTAATATTTTGTTTTTGTTCATGTGGTAATAACATTAGAAGAAATAGCGTAATGAAACAAAGTAGTTTAGGCCAACATAATGGCCACCAGAGAAAATAGTTGGTCTCTCTGGGAAAATTTCCTATGTATTTCCAACTATATTCAGTTATCCCAAATCTCTCCCAACTGGATTCTCTTAGATGTTTGGGACTAAAGTTCCCATGAGTTTCAACCAGCATCACCAGTATCTGGTACTGATGAGAGTTGTAATCCAACATACAAAGAGAGATCCAAGTTAGGAACAGTAAGTTAAATCTTAAATATGAAATCAAAATTGTTCATCTCTTGGAGGATATATTTAAGGGAGGAAATCCCTTTCACGGTTTTATATAAAAGAGATTTTGAAAGAATCTTTAATATGTCTGAATGAGATCCAACAACAAATGTTTTAAAAATGATTTGTTAAATTATGTTTTGTCCTCAGAATTTGTGAATAAAACAAGATGGCAGAGGAAACTGGAGATGAAAAGAAACTGGTTGCCAAGTTTGAGCTGGAGAGAGAGACTGAGCTCCGCTTTGAAGTTGAGGCCTCACAAACTGTCCAGCTGGAACTTATGACAGGCATGGCTGAAATCTTTGGAACTGAGCTGACACGAAACAAGAAATTCACCTTTGATGCTGGTGCTAAAGTTGCTGTCTTTACCTGGCATGGCTGTTCTGTGCAACTGACTGGTCGGACTGAAGTAGCCTATATCTCCAAAGATACGCCCATGCTTCTCTACCTCAACACCCACACAGCTCTGGAGCAGATGCGGTGGCAGGCTGAGCGTGAAGATGAGCGGGGACCTCGGGTGATGGTGGTGGGCCCCACAGATGTAGGCAAGTCAACAGTCTGCCGCCTGCTATTGAATTATGCTGTGCGTCTTGGACGCCGGCCCACTTTTGTGGAGCTGGATGTAGGCCAGGGCTCAATCTCAATCCCAGGCACTATGGGAGCACTCTATATTGAGCGACCTGCAGATGTTGAAGAAGGATTCTCAGTTCAAGCCCCCCTGGTTTATCATTTTGGGTCCACCACCCCTGGCACAAACATCAAACTCTATAACAAAGTAAGTACCATATGTCTGAAGTAAGGTATGATATGGTGAATCTCTGCATAAACTTTGGCTCCATAAATGATCTCAGAATAGAATTTTGGGGTAGAAATTTTAGGCATCATTTTTAATCGCACCATTGTTTGGTTTCTTTGGACCTTTATGGAATAGCTTTCTGTGTTTTCATTAAATGGAGAAAAGGTATGATAATTATAAATAAAACCTCTTCATTCCCTTGATTACCAAAGAGTATGTATAAACAAGGGATGACTATAATCATTTGCTCCGATTATGAATTGCATTTGGACTGTGATTGGCCACTATCAGAGAAGTAGTCTGTGCTAACATACCATGTCCTTATGAGAGGGAAATTACCATGATGAGTTGTTTACCATATAAAACTCACTCATAGAGGAGGAAGGAGTAGAACTTCTCTTTCTTGAATTTTGGAGCTGATGAGTAGAAAGTATTTAGATAATTATTAAGGTTTTGAAAAGGTATGAAAACTCATTGCAGGATCTTTGACACTTTGACTACTGTATTTTGTACAATTATATTAAAAAAACAATAGATTATTCAGGCATGCTATAAGAAACATAGCTGTTGCAGTTTGTTAACTGTGACTTATGGTTTAGTGTGTTGTATAAACACAGCATGCATCTGTTGAGAATAGAGCCAGGTAAAAGCAGTCCTGTTAATCCATAATCAATGTTTATTTAACATTAATCATGTTAATATGGTTCATCAAACTGTGATTAACTGGAAATCTGATTTTGGATAGACTAGCATCATTGATTTGATTTGGATAGTTATAACAAGACTGAGCTGACCGTGGACACATAATTTCATCATTATGTAAAAGATAATGATTTGGAGAATCAGACAGATAAGCAAAATATTGCTAAATTGGATACAGAAATTTACTTAGAAGTAATATATGTAAGACAATTAGTTAATGTTTTTGTCTTGGATAAGGTACTTATCTCTGATGAAGGGAAATCTTGTAATTTCCCTAATTCCTAGAACTATCCTACGTGGGATTTATTTTATTTATTTATTTAAGCAATTTATATGGCCATCCAACTCACTTGCGGTGACTCCGGGCAGCTTACAGGAATAAAAATCCCAAGTACAAAACCCACTACACCCCCCACCCCCCTGGCGACAGCAACTCATGCACAAAAATAGCAGCAAAACACAGAAAACTCTAACTTTGCTGCTGTCTAGCGGTCACCCAAATTTCTGCTGCTGAAATCTGGCAGACCTATTTTCTTTTAAGCATAGTGATTATAACTTTCAAAATACCAAGCAAAAGAAAGGGTTTTTTTAGAGTCGTCTCTTTGACCCATTACCAGACTATTTATTCATAAATGTATATTCATTCAAAGAGACTCTAAGCAGTATATAGAAGCAAAACGTATGGAGTCTTCACAGTTTTTGCAGAATTCTGTCTCTGATGCATAATCAGTGTTTTACAGAAGCTTCCTAATACATAATTGGTAAAACCAGATCATGTTGTATAGTACACTAGGTGTAATAAATAAGAATAAAATAACTTTTTTAAATAAAAGGATAAATAATAACTAACTAAAAATAAAAGAGAGGATGGTAGTTGAATTCTTGAGCATGTATTTTGCATCTCTGGAATGGAGAGTTCAGATTTAATCCCATGGTTATCACATAAACTCTTCTGAATATCTGTTTAAAGAGGTGGCTTTGGAATTAATGGGAAAAATCTGACATCAAGAGCAACAGGAAACAAACCTGCCAGATCTGCATTGCAAAAGTCCAGTCAACCACTAGATGGCAACAAAAGACTGAATTTTCTGTACAGTATCTCTTTGCTTTCATCTAATATTTGTTCATCTTAAATGGAGCAGCGCCACCAGCTATTAGGAAAAAAACTAGAGAATTAAAGTACCTTATTCAAAACAAAAATGTTACTACTTGTCTTCCTAAATTACTTCAAAATACATCTCAGTATCTAATTAAGCTTTTCTGTCTTTGATCTTGTATGGCACCTTTTATTTCCCAAGTCTCAATAAAGCCAAATGAAGAGACTTGAGACGAGGCTTCTTTAAGATAACAGATGTATTTTGATCAAGACACAGCTGGGTGACCCCAATCAACACATTAACAAAAGATGTTGATGAAATCAC